CCCTGAGGGGAGGAGAGTGCGGGGGAGGGGGCGCTGTGGGGGTGGGACCTGGGGTGGCCCGAGGTGGGAGCTAGGCACGGAAGGGAAGGGACAAGTGTGGGGGGAGGTGGGGGAGGAAAGGGGTTCCTGGATCGAGGGGCGGGAGAGAGCCCTTCCTCGGCCTGGGTTGTGTTTGGAGGGGGCATCCTCCTGCGTTTGGGCCAAGCAGCGGTGCTTCCCGAAGGGACGGACCTGGAGGTGGACTCCTGGCCCGCAGCCCAGGGTTTGGGGGTGTAGAGCTGTCCCTGCATTCGCCCGGCTGCTGTGCCGCGGCTCCCAGGTCTCAGCCCAGCCCCTGGGGCGTGACTCCGAATTGACGGGAGAGTGTAACTTCGATTCCCGAAGCGGATCGAAGAGCAGAGGGGACATGTTGGACCAGGACCCCGTTATCGGGCTTACGTGGCTGACAGCTCCTGCCGTTGATGTGTTGGATGAGGTTGAAGGCTATTCTCAGGAGGCCTCCCTTCCCTGTGGGGACTCTCTAGTTGCCCAAATTCTCCTTTCAAGTTTATTGAGTTTTTAAAAGAGTATTGCTATTAAAAATAGTGATTCAGACCAGCGATTTTTTTAAAACCGGTGTGCCATGAGAGGAAAAGGTTAAAATCGCTCATTTAGATCCTTATAGAGCAGTGGTTCTCAACCTTCCTAATGCCGCGACCCTTTAATGCAGTTCCTCATGTTGTGGTGACCCCCAACCATAAAATGATTTTCGTTGCTACTTCATAACTGTAATTTTGCTACTGTTATGAATCATAATGTAAATATCTGATATGCAGGATGTATTTTCATTGTTACAAATTGAACATAATTAAAGCATAGTGATTAATCACAAAAACAATATGTAATTATATATGTGTTTTCCGATGGTCTTGGGCGACTCCTGTGAAAGGGTGGTTCGACCCCCAAAAGGGGTCGCGGCCCACAGGTTGAGAACCGCTGTTCTAGAGGGTACTGCTCTTGGTAAAAGGAGAAGAGCTCTCTTAGTAGAGTTTTAGGTGTGTTTTTCCAGGAGTGGTTGGCTTACCCATGCAAAGCTCACTTGGCTCATCCTGAGGGTGCCAGCCCATTGAGCACAGGTTTTGGTGTTCAGGCCACACTGCTCCCCACCCACCTCCGTTTGCAAAAAAAAAAAGTATTTCATTTACTCTTTGAACCTAGTGGGCTCTAATAGAAGAAGCAAATCAAACAGTCAGTTATTGTTTGACAGGATTTTAAGACACAGTTTTACTATTAATAATATTGAGTTCTAGCACAGGAGTGTTAAATTGAAATCAGAAAAGAATTTGCTAACCAGAATAACTATACTGAGCTGGTGAAATCCACTACCAGGGGATCACTCGATTACTTTTATAATCCACCTTGTTCAAGTTGCAACTTTTGAAGGGAGCTAGCCATGTTTCTCAGAAGGCAACATTCCTTTTCCTCTTAGAGACAGACAGTTCCTCATTGCCAGCTCTTCACTCCCTGACACCGTGTAAACCATAAAAATCTCTTCAGTGCATAGAAGATTCTATTGCTGAGACATAGTGCATTATGTCTCTTTTTTAATATGTTGTTTTACTATATTGTTTCTATCAAGACTTTTAAAATATATTGTTTTATTGATTTTAGAGAGAGGGATAGAGAGAGAGAGAGAAACATTGATGAGAGAGAAACATGGATAGGCTGTCTCCTGCACACCCCCACACTGGGGATGGAGCGTGTAACCAACCCCGGGCATGAGCCCTGACGGGGGAATTAATCTGTGAGCTCCTGGTTCAGGGGCAGATGCTCAAACACTGAGCCACACCAGCCCCGGCCAGGCAAGACTTTCTTAAAGATACAACCATGTCATCAGCTGGCTTAATCTGATTTGCACAATGCACACCTGTTGGCATTTTGTTGATATCTGTGGAACTTTTCACTGTTTCATATTCTGTTCTGTTAGTTGCACCAAGACCTAAGATGTTAAAATTACAGGTGTTGGTAAAAATTAAAGATTTTATTTTAACATATTTTTTTTCTTTTGCACATTTTTAATTTTGTAACAGCATTTATAATATCATTACTGTTGCTCTTCAGGGCTCAGATTGACTTTGCTCTTGACACATTTGCTTGTGCCTTGACTGTTGGGGTCCAGCTCCAGCAGGTCCAGGGGTTCCCGTAGGTGGGGATGGAGTTGGCGAAGAAGGAATGCCATGGAGACAGTTTTCAGTTGATCAGCAGCTTAGCCAGGTTCTCTAGCCAGGATCTCCAGCCAAGTTCTGTCTTATTTTAACATTTTATTGAGCATCTAAGTCTTATAAAATGAAAAAAAAATTGATTTTTGCCTTTTCCACCCAGTAGAGAGGAAAGAAATAATACATAAAACAAGACAGAAAGATGATGGTCATTTCTAATCCCCTATCTTTATATAGGTATTTCCAAGCCAGGATCCTCTAGATCGAGCAGATTTCAATGCTGTGGAGTATATCAATACCCTGTTCCCCACGGAGCAAGTAAGTATGCAGTTTCCTTCATTTTAGTGGCTTCTGGCTCTTCTTGAGTGTTATGATTGATGTGTTATTCTATAAAATCGAAGGAGCTGTGATAAAGAAGGAGTGTTAAATTGAAATCAAACTTCATTGTAACCAGGGGAGTAGCTAATATCAAATACTGTTGTTAAAGTGGAATTCTTTGTAGAGTGAGTATATTATTAGAAATTATACCCTTAAATATTTTCCACACACTGATATTTGCTGGACTAAATCTTAAGCCTCTACCCCCCAAATATTACATACCTATCCTAGCACCAATCTTAAATAAATCAGGTTTTAGTACTGTTTGCTATATAAATAAAGGATGAAAATATAGGTTTAATATTTTTTTCTCACACCCTAATGGGTATTATTGCAAACCCCTTGGGGATGCACACACCCTCCTCTGGAGATGCTGTTCTGGGCATGGGATATTCACAGAAGGACTCTTGACGGTAATGACTGGATCAGATTCACATTTAAAAAATTCCATCTGGCCCTGGCCGATTTGGGTCAGTGGTTAGAGCATCGGCCCTCAGTTTGAAGGGTCTTGGGTTCGATTCCTGGTCAAGGGCACGGACCTCAGTAGCAGGTTCAATCTCCGGCCCTGGTTGGAGCACATGCAGGAGGCACCCAGTCAATGTGTCTCTCTCCCATCAATGTTTGTCTTCCCATCCTTCCTCCCTCCCACTCTCTCTCTAAAGATCAATAAAAAAAATATCCTCATGTTAGAGATAGACAGTTCCTCATTGCCTCAATACTCAGGTGAGTATTCAAAAGTTTTTTTATCTGGCCCTGGCCAATGTGGCTCAGTTGGTTGGAGTGTCATCACATACACCAGAAGGTCAGGGCACATACCCAGGTTGCGGGTTTGATCTCCCATCGGGGTGTGTATGGGAGGCAGCCAATCGATGTTTCTCTCTCACATTGATATTTCTCTCCCTCTTCCTTCCTCTCATTAAAAACAATCCTATCCTATATAAAAGGTCAGGACCATAAGCATAACGACTGGAATGACTGCTCAACCAGTCGCTGTGAGGTGCATTGACCACCTCTCGGTCCCTCCCCTGTCCTGCAGGTTCTGATCACAGCATGATGAACGGGAACTGCGAAATGCGAACGGGGGTGGGGGTGGGTGTGGGGGAGGAGGACTGGAGATTGTTGGGTGGCGAGCAGTGGTGAGTGTCCAGTGGCAAGCTGCGGGGCATTGTGGGGGCGGTGAGCATCAAGGGGAGGCGAGCGTTGCAGGGCAGCGTGGGGCGGGGAGCTTTGCAGAGCGTCTTGGGGAGGCAGTGGTGTTGAGCGTAGGGGAGCGTCTTGGAGCAGTTGCAGGGCGGGAGCGTTGAGCATCGCAGCGTGTCACAGGCCGGCGGCAGTGAGGGGCAGCGTGGGGCAGCGGACGTGGCCCTGATTGCAGGCTAGGCCTAGGGACCGTACTCATGCACAATTTCGTGCGCTGGGCCTCTAGTAATCAATAAAAACATATCCTTGGGTGAGGATCAAAAAATATTCCATCTGGCAACAATGTGGAGGGTGAAATGGGGGGAGGCAGAACTGGAGGCAGGAAACCCAGTTAGCAAACTGCTGTGACAGATCACTTAAGAGAGATGATGAGAGCCCTGGCCGGTTTGGCTCAGTGGATAGAGCGTCGGCCTGCGGACTGAAGGGTCCCAGGCTCGATTCCGGTCAAGGGCATGTACCTTGGCGGGAACATCCCCAGTGGGGGGTATCAGGAGGCAGCTGATCGATGTTTCTAACTCTCTATATCCTCTCCCTTCCTCTCTGTAAAAAATCAATAAAATATAGATTAAAAAAAAGAGAGAGAGATGATGATGAGAGTGTCAGTAGAGACCAGGATGGAGAGAACAAGATCCAAGAGCTATTTAGGAGGCATAAGACAGAATTTGGTAGTTAAAGGGATGTAGAACCTGAAATCATTCATTTACTCAACAAAAAACACCTCCTCTGCTTCCCTCTGTAAGAAATTTGTGGCCAGAGGAATGGACAAGGCAAATACCCTCCTTCCCAATATAGAGCTTCCAGTCTAATAAAACCATTAGCAGGTTATAAGCAAATTATTATGCTTCACAATGACTTGTTTGTATAACTATTAATTATTTGTTACTTGATGTCAAAAGAGTTCTCACTTTGAGTACAAGGGTAATAATAGATTATATTTAGTGGATGCTTACCATGCACCAGGCACCATTCTAAACACGTAACAATGGTAAGTTCTCACTTTGTTAACATGCTTGCTTTACAATGAGAATAATGAGGCACCGAGAGTTAGAGAATGCCCAGCTACATATGATAGCATTGCCACGAAGGAAACATGCTCAATTACTGTGAAAACAGAGCATGCATCTGAGGGACCCAAAAGGGCTTCCATGAGGAAATGACATTTAAGCTGTGCATTATAGGCCAAATGAAGGATTTTGAACTTTGATTTCTAGTCTGGCAGACTAAGTGGGCGTTAGCACCTTTACTCTATATTGGGAGTAGGAAGAAAAAACAGGTTTCAGTGGCAAATAGGCTAGTAGGAGGATGTAAAGGTGAGCTCGTTTTGGAACATATTTGGGGCATCCAGGTAGAAATATGTGGTTGGATAGTATTTGAATCTGAAGCTCATAATCCCCATAATTGTTACTATCTTGGCATAAACCAGCTTTTTCTAATGGACATGTTAATTTTTAAAATAAAGTTGGAAAACATGGCATCCTACTATGTGATTATCTCTTTTGAGATTTCACAGATAGCCTTTAGCGCTCACATTTTCTTTGTTTTTTATTTAAAAATGATATCAGAAATTTATTAAAGTGTTGTTTTTTAATCCTCACCAGAGGACATGTTTTCACTGATTTTTTTTTTTTTTTTTGAGAGAGAGAGAGAGAGAGAGAGAGAGAGAGAGAGAGAAAGAAACATCAATCAGCTGCCTCCTGTAAGCACCCTGACAGAAGGTGGGAATTGAACCCGCCACCTTTCCGTGTACTGGAGGACGTAGAGCTCATCATTTTCTATGAAAAAGGAATTCTGGGAATTAGCTGGACATGGAAATTTGGGAACAACTGATATAGAGATAGTTTTAAACATGAAAATATTTCATTTACCCCACCCTATTAAGGTTGCTGACCCACTAAAACAAAAGTATGTGTTAGATTTGAAAATTATATAGGAAACCACCAGGTTCTTACATCTTACTGATATGTTGTTATATTTGTTTTTAAACTACTGTAGGGAGCACAAGACATCCAGATTTAGTTATGTGTCTCGCCTTATGCCCTCATGTACATGATAATGTGTTGTGAAATTTCTTAGGTGACTCAGAAAGTTTATGACCCAGGGTTACCTTTATTTCCCCAATCCCAGATTTACACTTAGCAATTTATCCCAGATTTCCATGGACCTTAAGGAAAGGTAATAAAAAGTAGTGGCATGATTTATAATTTCTTTCAGCTATTGCTATATCTTGGGCAAAACCCATCTCTATGCCTCATGGACCTGCAGTAAATACTTGTGAATTATAAATTTAGAATATTTAAAGTATGTCAGTATATCAAGAATAAATTCAGTGTCACTCCGAGGAGGAGGGTGTGAAGGTGTGTCTATTCAGTGGCAACTACCTCGTGTCTGTGTGGACTGGAACAGATCCTCAGATGTTTCTTACTCACCAGGTCCAGGTGTGGGGAACGTGAGTTTCTGTATGTAACAGGGCTCCCTGGGTGGTTCTGAAGAGTAGCTGGGCTTCCAGTCTCCTAGTAGAAAACTGAAGATGACAATTGTCATGTTTTCATTAGAGGTTTGATTAGGGAAACTAGATGAAATTTATATTAAAAAATAGAATTAAGCCTGGCTGGCGTGGCTCAGTGATTGAGCATTGACCTATGAACCAGGAGGTCATGGTTCGATTCCCAGGTTGCAGGCTCGATCCCCAGTAGGGGCATGCAGGAGGCAGCTGATCAATGATTCTCTGTCATCATTGATGTCTCTCTTTCTCTCTCTCTCTTTCCCTCTCCCTTCCTCTCTGTAATCAATAAAAATATATTGTAAAAAATAAAATTAAGAACTTTGAAAAAAAGAGTTATATGGAGCTGTTTATACAGAATTTTTAATGATTCCCTCAAAATGTATGCATCTGTGTGGTTAAGAGTAAAAAAGATGTCAAATTGCTTATCATCTAAGTTTAATTTTTTAAAAAGCCATATAGTATTTGCATAGAAGGAGCAGTAGAAGGTAATATACCAAAATGCTAATGGTGTTTATACTCTGTTGGGGATGAGTCTGATTTTATGTATTTTCTGTAATCAACAAGAATCACCATTAAAGTCAGGAAATACTTTTCAATAAATAAGACATTTTTAAGCGATGGAATTAACACTGTGCAGCCACATTACAACAGAACTAGAAGAATGATTCTCAAAGAGTAGATGTATCATCTCCACCCAGGGTAGCCAATCTGGATTCCTATGGGGCGTTTTCCCAACTGCCAGAGAGGCCTCAACCCCAGTGAGAATCATTGTTATCGAGAGGCACTGAGCTGATAGCAGGGAGTGTGTCATATCCCTCAGGTGTGTTGGGGTGCAGAAAAACTAGGTCAGGAACCATTGTATTAGAGGTGGCATGGTAGAATAAGAAAGAGTGAAGACCCAGGAGTCAGACCTCCACCAAATCCAGCCTCCGTGACCTTGGACAAAGTATCTATGCTTTCAGGGCCTATTGTCCATTCTTTATACCGAGGAGGAAAAGAGCCTGGTAAGAAGATTAAGGGAAATCATTTTTGTAAAATGTTCAGAGGAGTGTTGCATAACAGATCCACATTAAATGTTAGCACCCTTTTCCCTTTTGCTTCCCCAGTAGAAAATCTGGACGATAAAGAGCAAGTAGTCCACCTAACGTGCAGTCAAGTGTTACAATTTTCTTGTCTTTTAAAAGCTGTATTCATGGGGTACTTGGTATTTTTACGTGTTTTCCCCATTATTAGCTTGTTCTCTTAAGTGATATTTGTTTCAGAGTCTCCCTGGCCGATGTCTTTAGTGGTGGAACAAAAGTCCATCAAATATATGTGGCCTAATTTATTTAACTTTTCTATTGAGGGCCCTTTAGGTCATTCCCTGTTCTGTTTGTTTGTTTGTTTGTTTTTCTTTTTTTATTGTCTAAAGTTTTACATATGTCTCCTTTTTCCCAAAGAGTCCCCTTTTTGTGTGTGTGTGTTTTTAAAAAAATATATTTTTATTGATTTCAGAGAGGAAGGGAGAGGGGAAAGAGATAGAAACATCAATGATGAGAGAAATTTGATTAGCTGCCTTCTACATGCCCCACACTGGAGATTGAGCCCACAGCCTGGGCATGTGTCCTGACTGAGAATGAAAATGTGACCTCCTGGTTCACAGGTCCATGCTCAACAGGTTTGCTGACCAGGTTTGCATTTTTTTTTTAAAGATTTTAAAATTGATTTTCAGAGAGAGAGGAAGCAAGAGGGGAAGAGAGAGAGAGAAACAGCAATGTGACATCACATCCATGAGCAGCCTCCCACACACCCTCTACTGGGGATTGAGCCTGCAACCTGGGTATGTGCCCTGACCTGGATTCAAACCAGCAACCTCTCAGTGCATGGGATGATGCCCAGCCAACTGAGCCACACAGGCCAGGGTGTTTTTTGCTTTTTAAAATAAATGCAGTTGAACATCTGAAAGCATAATATATTTTGAATTATTCTTTTCGGGAAAATTGTTATGACTTAAGCAAGACCTTCATGTCTACAGAGTATTAAATTTAAGCAATAATTACTGTACCACCAAACATCAATATTTGCTGATGTGGAATGATCTTCAAGTTATATTGTTATGTGAAAAAAAAGCATGGTATAGGACAATGTGCATTTATATAAGGGAGGGGATATAAGTTATGGATCTGCTTCAGATACATAGACATCTCTGAGAATGTGCCAAAGAAACTGGCCCAGAGCCATTGCCTCTGGAGAGGAGAACTGGGAGGTAGATGGGCAGAACAGGGGAAAGGAAGCCTTGCTTTCCACTGTCTGCCTTTTTCTGTTTGAATTTTTGGTCCTCTACATGTTTTACCAATTTAAATAGATTACAATGTTAAATTTTGAGATAATTTTCCATTTGTAGAAAAGACGCAAGAATAGTACAAAGACTTCATGGCTGTCCTAGCTGGTTTGGTTCAGTGAATAGAGCATCGGGCCAGGAACTGATGGGCCACGGGTTCCATCTGGTCAAGGGCATGTACTTCAGTTGCAGGCCCTGTCCCCAGCCCTGGTTGGCGCATGTGGGAGGCAACCAATCCATGTGTCTCTCTAACATCGATGTTTCTCTCTGTCTCTCCCCCGCCCTTCCACTTGCTCTAAAAATTAATGGAAAAATATCTTTGGGTGAGTATTAACAAAACAAACAAACAGAAAGAATTCATGGCTACCCTTCATCCCCAATTTCCCAAATGTTAACATGTTTTAAATAGTTTTTTTAAGTACCAAAATTGTTTTTAAAAAAGGAATGGGTTCCAGCAGAGATAAGCCAGGTGAGAACTAGTATGCCTGTTTTGCATATGAGGAAATAGAAACTCAGAGAGGTTAAACCTCTTGCCCTCTAGACATACAGCAAATTTGTTTGTGGCAGAGATTTGCCAAACCCAGGTCCTCTGACAACTCAGGTTCTGTCACCACCGTGGTGATTTATACTCAGTCTAGTTGTGCAATGACAACTTGACAGAGGATTCCTCAATTAAAATAACTCTCTTTTCTGAGATTTATTGTTACCTCAGTCTGTTCTTGGGTTTCTGAAATTCAGAGTAACCATTGGCTTTGTCGGAACAGTAGACAAGATGTGAATGGCCCCATCTGACATCTCAAACACTTGTGACCTGATTTCCTTACCAGCCCTGCTCCCGGCGGGAGCCTGGTCTTCTCCTGCCAGCACAGTTTGCTGGTAGCAGTTCCTACATCACCCCCAGTTCTTGCTCAGATAAAATATCTGTTGGTAAAAGAGAAAGAGAGAAAGAGGACTGGTGCCTAAGTGGTTAAGAGTGTCGGCCTTCACACCTAAGGATCTTGGGTTTGATTCCTGGTCAAGTTCCCATTCGGAACATGTGCAGGAGGCAACCAATTGATCTCGCTCTCTCTCTCTCTCTCTCTCTCTCTCTCTTCTTCCCTTCCACTCTCTCTAAAAATATCAATGGAAAAAAATATCCTCTGGTGAGGATTACCCCCCCACCCCCAAAAAAGTGCTATTAAGTTGTACCATCTCTATTCCATTAGGGGGCACCATTTCCTCACATTTTTTGCTCCCTAATGTTGGAACTAGTCCATTTGTTTCTATTGTCATTGTCTTAAAAACAGAAATACCTGTATTATAATTACAATAGCACTGCATAGTCAATATAGAGCAGTTAGAAAATACTCAGGCAAAAATAAATTTTTTAAATCTTTCCTTTTCATGGATTACAGCTACTGCTACTGATTTCATAGAGCTACTAGTATAGATTACAAGTTCTAGTATTTATCATTCCAGACTATTTTCTAGTGGATCTATACACTTAGAAAAAATAGATATATTTATTTATTAAAGAGTAACATAATGTGGAAGAGTACACAAATCTTAAGTGTATAGCTTGATGAATTTTCACAAAATGAATTCAGCCATGTAACTACCACCCAGATCAAGAAATAAAACATCTTCATGCCCTAGCCAGTTTGGCTCAGTGGATAGAGCGTCAGCCTGCAGACTGAAGGGTCCTGGGTTCGATTCCGGTCAAGGGCACGTGCCTAGGTTGTGGGCTCGGTCCTCAGCTGCAGAAGGCAGCTGATCAATGATTCCCTCTCATCATTGATGTTTCTGTTTCTCTCTTCCTCTCCCTTCCTCTCTGAAATCAATAAAAATATATTTTTAAAAATCGCTTGAATAATTTATCTCTGACTGTTCAGAGTATGATAAAGTTACTATATATTAATTAAAAAAGTAGAAATGAAACATCTTTAGATGGCCCTGTCTTGCCTGCTCATAGTCACTGTCTCCTCCAAAGATAACCACCATCTTTGCTTCTAAAACGAGAGAATAGTTTCACTCATTTTTTAACTATAAAAATGGAATCCTACTGTATATACTCTTGTTGTCAAGCTTTCTTTTGTGTGCAACATTATATTAGTAAGATTTATCCATGTTGTATGTATGTTCATTCATTGCTATATTTGTTGTATGAATTTTTTAAAAATATATTTTATTGATGAGAGGAAGGGAGAGAGATAGAGAGTTAGAAACATCGATGAGAGAGAAACATCGATCAGCCGCCTCCTGCACATCTCCTACTGGGGATGTGCCCGCAACCCAGGTACATGCCCTTGACCGGAATCGAACCTGGGACCCTTCAGTCTGCAGGCCGACGCTCTATCCACTGAGCCAAACCGGTTTCGGCTGAATTTTTTATGATTCTATATATCAGGGGTCAGGCAAAGTTTCTGTAAAGGGCTAGATAATAAATATTTTAGGATTTGTGGACCATTCAATCTTTGTTGCAATTACTCAACTTTGTAGTTCAAAGCCAACTGTAGATAATATGTAAGTGAATGGGTATGGCTGTGTTCCAATAAAACTTCATTTATAAAAATAGATACCAGGCTGGATTTTGCAATAGTTGCCAATTACTGCTATACTTTTTTTTTTAAAGTAAAAATTGAATTGTACTCTCTGATTACATTTTCTGAGATGTCATCAATAGCCATTATAGTTCATCATTTCCCTGTAAAAGAGGAATTCCAGGAAGCGAAATAATAGCTGGCACTTTTCCTTCTTTATTGTAGTCTCTGGCAAACATAGACGAAGTTGTGAACAAGATTAGACTGAAAATAAGGTAAGTAATACGATATGATTATTAATAATGAAAAATATGCTTCATTATCTGAAATCTCACTTTTGCTATAAATGGTCATTTGAAAGAAAAATAATTCTTTTTATGTGGGTTTTCATACAAGCCTGTGGCAAAGACCTCAATTCTTTGATCAGTCTTTAATTATTTGTTAAAGGGAAGAAAACTGTAACAGGCTATTCAAAACAGTTGTTATAAAAGGAGGCAAAAGCATTTTTATATATTTTTTAACCATTTGTATGCCATAAGTGTCTATAGACACAAATGGCAGACCTTTTTTAATTAAATTCAAAATATCGTGGCGGTTAACTGGTTAAAATTGATTTTAGAAGGAGAGGAAATGAGAGAGCCTAGAAAGAGAGAGAGAGAAACATTGATGTTAGAGAGAAACAAGGATCGGTTGCCTCTCATACACACCTTAACCAGGGATCAAACCAAAACCTGGGTATGTGCCCTGACCAGGAATCAAACGCTGGACCTTTCAGTGTACAGGACGATGCTCCAACCCACTGAGCAACACTGGCCAGGGCAGCATTTCTACTATATTTGTAATGGCTTTATTTTCTTAGTAGATTTACTTTGTGTGTGTGTGTATTCCTAAGGCTTAGATATGAATATGGGCTTATATGTATACACATACATGTATAGACATATATTGGCCACATACCAGTTACCAATGAGGTTAGATCTGCTGGTTGGTATGGGTGGTGGCCCAAGATTAAACATTGTGATTAATCTAGGATGTGATTGTCTAGGGTGGTCATCAAGTGTCCTTCGTGCCCAATAGCCTTGTTCTGGTTTGTCCACATCTGAATTTCCAGTTTTAACACATGGTAGATACTCAGTGTTTATTTATTCATTATAATTATTACCATAACTAGTGGCCTGGTGCACGGATTCATGCATATTGAAAGGAAATTAATTAGAAAAAATATTTTAATATTGCTATTCACCCTTTCTCTATAATAGAAGTGTCAAAGGTGAAAGAAAATTAGTAAAATGTATATTAGGAAATGTTATTTGCAGTAAACCAGATTTGGGGCCGACAGTGCCCCAGCAACCCACGGCCAAAGGTGGAATCGCGCGGCCCCTCAAGGAATCAGGCTCCCTCCTCTCTGGTTCCGGGGTGCATCACCCGAGAACCGCAGCTGCCAAGTCACCACAGCTCAGCAGCACCTGCTTTGAGTGTCTGCCCCCTGGTGGTCAGTGCACATGATATGTACTGGACGGTCAGATGGTCACTTAGCCTTTTTTATATACATATATCTACACTAATAAAAGAGAAACATGCAAATTGGTGTTACTCCACTACGCCAACCAGCCAATCAGACGAGTATGCAAATTAACCCAACAAAGATGGCAGTTACTTTGCATATACAGGCACAGAATGAAGACTGAAGACAACGTAGAAGGAAGCCAAGTGCTGCAGAAGGGAGCGAAGCTGCAGAGAAACAAGCGGGGCAGCGGAGGCGGGAGCGAAGCCCGTCTCGGCGGGTTTCGCTCCCTTCTCTGCTTCACTCCGGTTGCAGAAAGCCCTATTTTTTGCAGGAATCTTCCTGCAATGGGCCTCTAGTATATATATTTGTGCACTCGGGGGGCGGGGGGGGTCCCTCAGCCCGGCCTGTGCCCTCTCGTAGTCTGGGACCCCTTGGGGAAAGACCACCTGCTGGCTTAGGCCCGCTCCCTGGGGGATTGGGCCTAAGCTGGCAGTCAGACATCCCTCTGGCAGCCCAGAAGCCTCGGGGGATGTCCACTTGCCAGCGGGGAGCAGGCCTAGCTGCAGTTGGACATCCTTAGCGCTGCTGAGGAGGCGGGAGAGGCTCTCACCACCACCGCTGTACTGGCAGCCGTCAGCCTGGCTTGTGGCTGAGCAGAGCTCCCCCTGTGAGAGCACACTGACCACCAGGAGGCAGCTCCTGCATTGAGCGTCTGCCCTCTGGTGGTCAGTGTATGCCATGGTGACTGGTCGTTCCGCTGTTAGGCTCAATTTGCATATTACCCTTTTATTATATAGGATATACACACACACACACACACACACACACACATATATTTATATATATTTGTAATTAAACATATTAAGTGTAGATTTGCTTTTTAACTTTTGATGAGAAGAAGCCTTTATTTTGAATCCAGGAGATGATTTTTCCCCCTTTGGATTTTTTTGGTGAAGACCTCTATTGTTAATGTTTTGTTGAATTGGATGCCTTAAGGAGTGCAAAGAAGCCAGTTCATCGTTTTGGTAGACTTTTGCTATAACAATTCTAGTGGAGACCACTAAGTTGTCTAGGGTTTGCACAAGTAATGGAAATTCTCTGATGATCCAGAAATCACTTGTGAGCCGGTTATTTTCCTTCTACTCGCATACCTTTAATGGATTCTTCAAGTAAAAATGGAATTGACTGAAATAGATGTCTCTGGTTGAGACATCATGAATGGCCCCTGTTGAGCCACTGGAGAAAGAGGAGCTAGAGGCTACAAATCTGTCTCCTGCATAGGTTGCACAATCAGGGCCCGGAGGTAAAGGACTGATTTCATATATTACCCTGGCTCCTTATCCCTTTTAAGGTTCTGGAGGAAGTTTCTGAGGAAAGAATTTATGTGGGGTAATTTGAATTTTCTGGCTTCTTCCCATAAAGTTTAAGCAACTTTCTCATTTTTGGTTTACTCCATGAAAAATACTAAAAGTTATATGGGTCTTTTGGACACTCTGAATACTAAGTGAAAACAGCCCTTTTTTAAAAAACAGAGACAACTCGTCAGTCTATGCTGGGCTTGGCTTTTTACACTACTGTTAGGCTCCACTTGGGCCCAAGGCCTCAGTGTTTCTTATATCATTCAAACTTGTTTGATTTTCTGGACAAGTGGGTACAATCTGCAGAAGATGCTGGATAAATTACTAACTCTTGCTCTTTTGATTAGCCCAGAATAGAGATTATTTTAATGATTTGTATTCTTTAACTTTTTTTACCAGGAGACTGGATGACAATATTCGAACTGTTGTAAGAGGTCAAACAAATGTGGGACAAGATGGCAGGCAAGTAAGTAACTTATTCTTCCCTATTCATTATGCTCCCCTAATTTCTTCAGAACCCAACTACCAAGTGCCTCCTTACAGAGCATTTTCTTATGGATCTGTCCCATACACAGCAGGAAATGTACATGACTTGTTCTACTAGTAATAGCGGTAGGCTGCCCAGACCAGCCATGAACTCTGTCACTCAGTGTTCCTTGAGCCACGGGCATATCAGCACATCTCACCCAGGCCGGGACATGCAAGCTGAAATGAGAAAACAGAAATCATCTTATCTTTATCTTTTGTGTGCTGTGTCTAAATGTGGTTGCTACTTTTATCTAGCTTATCTAGCTAAGTTGTTGGGATTTTGGTATTACTTTTGTTACTGCAAAAGATGGCAGTAACCTATGCATCAAAAGACACTATCAACAGCCCTAGCTGGTTTGGCTCAGTGGATGGAGCGTTGGCCTGTGGACTGAAGGGTCCCAGGTTCGATTCCAGTCAAGGGCACATGCCTGGGTTGCGGACTCAATCCCCAGTAGGGGGCATGCAGGAGGCAGCCAGTCAATGATTCTCTCTCTTCATTGATGTTTCTATCTCTCTCTCTCTCTGTCTCTCTCTCCCTTCCTCTCTGAAATTAATAAAAATATATTAAGAAAAGACACTGTCAACAGAATAAAAAGGCAACCTACAGAATGAGAGAAAATATATGCAAATCATATGTCTGATAAGGGATTAATATCCAAAATATATTGAGAACTCCTAAAATTCAACAACAAAAAACCAAACAGCCCAACAGTGGGCAAAGAACTTGAAGAGACATTTCTCCGAAGAAGATACAAGATTAGTCACTAAGTACATGATGCTCAAATCACTAATTATTAGGAAAATGCAAAGCACACCCAGTAGGATGGCTGCTATCAAAAAAACAGAAAATGCCCGGCCAGCATGGCTCAGTGGTTGAGCATTGACCTATGAACCAGGAGAACACGGTTCAATACCTAGTCAGGGCACATGCCGGGGTTGCAGGCTTGACCCCCAGTGTGGGGTGTGCAAGGAAACAGCCGATCAATGATTCTCTGTCATCACTGATGTTTTTCTCTCTCTCTCTCCCTCTGCCTTCTTCTCTGAAATCAATAAAAATATATTTTAAAAACAAACAAACAGGAAACAACAAGTGTCAGCAAAGCAACAGGGCTAAAAATCATGCAAAGACTAGGAAATAAGACCAGTTTTAGGATATGGATAAATTGGAACCCTTGTGCACTGTTGGTGGAATGTAAAATGATACAGCTGTATGTAAAACAGTATGGAAGTTCCTCAAAAAATTTAAAATATAGAATTACCATATGACCTAGCAATTCCACTTCTGGGTATATATACCCAAAATAATTGAAAGCAGGGTCTTGAAGAGATACTTGTATAGCCACGTTTATAGTAGCATTGTTCACAATAAGTAAAACGTAGAAGCAAAGTGTCCATTGACAGATGACTAGGTAAGCAAAATGTGGGATATGTATACAATGGGATATTATTCAACCTTAGAAAGAGAAATTCTGACATATGCTATATGGATGAACGTGAAGACATTATACTAAATGAAATAATCTTGTCACAAAAAATACTATATGATTCCACTTATATGAAGTAATTAGAATAGTGAAAATCATAAAGACAGAAAGTATAATTATAGTTGTCAGGGGCTGGGGGAGAATGGAAAGTTACTGTTTAATGGGTATAGAGCTTCAGTTTTAAAAGCTGAAAAGAATTATGGGATGGATGGTGGTGATGGCTGCACAAGAATGTGAATGTACTTATTACATTCAATTAAAAATGATTAAGATGATAAATTTTATGTGTATTTTAACACAATAAACTTTAAAAATCAAGATGGAAATAAAATTCATATATTACAAAAAAATAGTAATGTGACCTAGCTACAGTTCCTCGTGCCTAGTAACTAGATTGATTTCAGGAATTTTACATTTCCTTAGGATCTAGCTAAGGAGGGCTGTTGGAAGGGAATGAAGGGAAAAAGTATATGGGGAGGAGGTATTCTTCAATGATTCAGAGGCCAGATGTTATCTACTAACATTTCCCTTTTCATTTGCATTTTATTTTTCTGTTTAGGCATCATTTTTCAGAAATTGCTATCTAACAATGACGTGCATGTCTTTCCTCGTCTTCTTCTCATACAGTGTCTGGTTCTCCCTTTCCAGTACTAATTCAGTGAGGTTGGGTGTGCATCTTTGTAATAATAGCTTCAATTCTGTTATTTGTCCTGTTTGACATTTTTTAGTACAGCTGATTCCTTTTTTAAAAAAATTTGTATTGAATTTATTGGGATGACATTGATTAATAAAATTATATAAGTTTTTCGTGTACAATTCTGTAATGCATCATCTGTATATTGTATTGGGTGTTCATCACCAAAAGTCAAGTCTGCCGTCACCATTTATCCCCCTTCACCTATTTCACCCAGCCCCCCAGCCTCCTCCCCTCCAACAGCTGTCAGTACAGATGATTTCTTAAAATGTTAATTATGCTACCCAGATTTTTGGAAGGTGGGTGGAGGTTGTAATCCTGTGTAGAAATTTCCTCATCTTATATTCCTGTTCTCTCTACTAGTAGCTGACATGTGTTGAGTCTCTTTCTTTTATATTTTCAGTTTATTCATTTCTCTATTTTTCTTACATTCTATGACTTTCTTTTCCTGTTAATAATCACCTTCCGCTTGTCCATTTGTAAGTAGTCTACCTTCTTCCTTGTTGTCACCATCACTATTTGTGTGTAGACATACTAAATTCCTAAAACTGGTCCTATTTCCTAGTCCTTGCACGATTTTTAGCCCTTGCTGTTTTGCTTTATCTATTTAGGTTTTTCCAATGAAGCTTTGCTTCTCTGGCAGGTGAGGCCTATGTAATCGGGGCCCTTATAGTGGGAGATGTCATGTCATCTGGTCATGTCATCTACCTCTTCAGAAACCTCAGTGGGCTCTGTCTACCAAATTAAACCCAAATTCCTTTGCTTGGCATTCAGGGCCTCAGTCTACCTTTCCAATGCTGTTGCCTGTGTTTCATCCATACTGAAGACTTAATATTTTCTGGACTTAGGATGTGTCCTTCCTTTTTTAAAAAAAATTTATTTTTATTGATTTCAGAGAGAAAGGGAGAGGGAGAGAGAGATAGAAACATCAATGATGAGAGAGAAGCATTGACTGGCTGCCTTCTGCAAGCCTCCCACTGGGGATCGAGCCCGAAACCCGGGCATGTGCCCTTGACTGGAATCGAACCTGGGACCCTTCAGTGTGCAGGCTGACGCTCTATCCACTGAGCAAAACCAGCCAGGGCAGATGTGTCCTTCCTTTTGCTTAAAATTCTCTCTCCTTTTTCTCCCAATAGCTTAATTTCAAAATCTTACCTATTCCTAAGGCCCAGCTCAAATACCAGTTCTTTCATGAAATTTTGATTTATCTTAACTAGACAAACCAAAGGAATCAGAATTTTAGAACTAGAAGGGATTTGGAACTTGTCTGTTCCATTCCTCTCGTTTTACAGATGAGAAAATTGATCCCAGTGCCCCTCAGTTAATTAGATCTATTCCTTCCTGCCTGCAGACTCCCACAGCCCCCTGCTCGACTTTTCATTTGGCTTTCCTGGTCTCCTTGGACGTGCTAGTGAACACATCTTGTCCCATTGACTAATGTATAAGCTCCTTGAGGCAAGAACTGCATCTTTCTCATCTTCACACTTCTCAGAACACATAGTCCATGTGTGATAACAGTTTATTTAACTGTTGTTTAAAACTTGATTTGTATATGACTAGTTGCAACTTACTACTCTTTGAAATAATAATGCTACTGTTTATTGTGATTCAGCCTGTGTTTATTTTTATTTTATTTTATTTTTTTAAAAATATATTTTATTGGTTTTTTACAGAGAGGAAGGGAGAGGGATAGGGAGTTAGAAACATCGATGAGAGAGAAACATCGATCAGCTGCCTCCTGCACGCCCTCTACTGGGGGATGTGCCTGCAACCAAGGTACATGCCCTTGACTGGAATCGAACCTGGGACCCTTCGGTCCACAGGCCGACGCTCTATCCACTGAGCCAAACCGGTCAGGGCCAGCCTGTGTTTAGAATGGCTCACTAGAAACCTTAATACACAAAAGAGAGTCTCCGGTATTTAAAATTCCAAGATTGTGAAAGTAAAGTAAATGATTCATCAAGACTTTTTGTTGGGTCATGCTACGCAGATACACATCCCTTAGTTAGTTATGTTTTAACCTGTGGTCACAAACTAGCAGTGCTGGGGAGTCCGGCCCAGAATTAGACAGCCTGCAGGAATGCCGGCCTCCCCACCTCGCATGTTAATAGGTTACAGGTTGCTGTAGAGCAAAGCAGGTCATATTTCAGAGAGTAAGACCACATTTTCAAGAATGTTTAGATAGCATTTCAATCTGTGATGGAATTTTGTATTCGTCTCCTCAGAATCCAGACAAAAAGGAAGCCCAGAAGAAATAATTGCTTTTCCTGTCATCCCCTCCATCTGTCTTTTCCAACAGTTTGTAATGCAAGTTGAAGTAGAGACTTTTTTCTCAGGGAGCTTTTGAGTCCTATCCTTGTCAGCTCCTGAGGGTGAAAGCCTCGCTGTCCAGCCCTGGCTGCCGGGTGGTTTGCTAAAGGGAGACTCTGACTGGCACAGACTGGGGAGAATTACGGATGTTCCAAAATACTGAGTTTTATAGGTCAAGAGGCCCCAGGTTTTCCCCTTTGCTGGGGCAGAGGAAAAGTTTCCTTTCAGAACTTATTTCCTAAGCTTCTGAGGAACACTCGGGAGGGGAGCAGTAATATGGACAAAAGGAAGTTTTCCTTTAATAAATTTCATCTTGATTGTGTTCAGTCAGAACAGATGTATAAATAAGGGGAAAGTATTCACTTTACATTTATGGTGTCTTAAAAAGACATTTTTAGCAGAAAACATTCTTTTTGGAAAGCAGTTATTTCTGACTCAAAAATCATTTGT